CACACACACACACACACACACACACACACACATACCTGTTTAGGTTTGCATCATTACTCTCTGCTCTATAACTCCTATGTGTTTTCCAAACTTGTTCTTCTTACATATCCTGTGTTATGTTGTCACTGGACACAAAATTATGTTTGTTTTTTTCATTTAAATCTCTTGTTCTTACTCAGCCCATCTGGAGGAGGCAAGTACTGTCTTGGGGAGAGAAAGCGATACAGATCCTGTAACACTGACGTGAGTTCCTTTTATTTATTTTTTCTTTCTTATTTTCTTCTTTGAATTTAGACTAGGGACAGAGTGACCCCCCAAACCCGCACCCTCGTGTGAGTAATACAGATCTTTTGTGAAAATGATGGATTTTTGAGGCTCATTATACAGGTAAACGTCTGAAGGGGTTGTATGCTTTTGCTCAGATGGACCTTGAAAGATACATCTAAGCAACTTTTACTTGTAGTTGAGTAGATTTGACCATGAGTATCAATAATTTTATTTAAGTACTAGAGTTGAGTACTTTGTCCACCACTGATATTCGTCCCAGGCAGTGTTGTATAAAGTACCACAAAGTGATACTTGAGTAAAAGCACAAGTATCTTACCAAAAAAATTACTTTGGTAAAATTTCCAAAAAGAAAAAATAAGAAGGTCCTCTTGGGGGTGGGTTCTTCTTTAGTGAAACGTTTCGTCTTTCCTCCAAGAGACTTCTTCAGTCAGGTGAGTTTCAGGTGAACTCAGCCTTATAAGCTCCGCCTCCACATGGTGGACAAACAGGTTAGTCACATGCAAAAGAGGACCATGGCCTAACTATAGGCTTGATTGGCTCTATTGTTCATAGAGGGTCATGAACCTCATCACCTGACTATCGTTGGGGTCCTGATTCACACCTTTTGCTCACAGGGGGCGGAGTCATACTTGCAATAACAGCGTTGTAGGAGGAGGAGAACTGGACACGAAGGCCTCCACCTGTGTTTAATGTTGGATGGTTTTTCTTCACAAAGATGACTTCCTTTACTCCTCTCTCAAACCAAAAGATACTTTGGTTAAAGTTAAAGTCTCCTTTAGGAATATTACTTGAGTAAAAGTCTTAAAGTATTTGATATTTTTTGTACTTAAGTATTAAAAGTCAAAGTATAGATTTAAAATGAGCAGTTCGATTTTATGTAAGGACATTTATTAAGAGGTGACCTCCCCAAAAACTGCAGAAATGACCATTGTATTAAAAGAATGAATGGATGTTAAATTTAGGATGTACTAGTCCAGCTGTTTCAGTTTATATACATATATCAAGGCTGCACAAAGCTTTTCCCCAAAATGAAAATCTATCTGAGGGCTGCAGCCAAATGTAATAATATAATTCATGAAATACTAATACTTCAGTCCTTTTATTTGAATGATTCTGTCCTGCTGGAGTGTGACATGATTTGTTTGTGAACAAACTAATACGCTGTCAGAGTTTTATATATTTATACTTCTCATTCAACCACAGTTAAATTCACTCTATCTAGGAAGCACAGTTTATGTGGATAGTATTTATTTTTTATAATAACAAGCTGGAATGAAAACAAGCTAAAATGAAATTAAAGTAACGACTTTCTACATCTTGTCTTTTTTAAAAATGTGAGAAGTAGAAATAAAAATTAGGCTGAAAAATAATTACTCAAGTAAAGTACAGACACCCAAAAATTCTACTTAAGTACAGTAAAGAAGTATTTGTTCTTAGTTACTTTACAACTCTTGTCCCAGTAAACAGCGTTTTCAGAGCCTAGGTCTCATGTAAACAGGGACTGTGTCTCTCAGCTGGCCTGGGAACTCCTTGGAGTCCTCCTAGAAGGGCTGGAAGAGGAGGATGAGGGAAGAGAGGTCTCTGTTTCCCTGATCAAGCTGCTGCCCCCGCGTCCTGACTTCAGACAAAGCAGAAGATAATTAATGGATGGATGTTAGCCAGAGTCTGACCTGTACTTAATAATGCTGTCGTCTTTACACACAGACAAATATAAACACAATATTGAGTTACTCTCGTGTCTCCAGATGTTCAGTTTTAATGGAAGTTTAGCCTGTTTAAAGCATTCATTATGTCTTTATTTACCTGCAGTCAGCTTACAATATTATATATTTGTATAAATTCTATATAAAATAACTGCTCTTAACCATTTTTATCTTTCAGTATTATACTGTGATGCCCATTTAAACTAAAGTTAAACAAATATGCTGATATATAGAGTTCCTGTTGTGCTGTCTTTCCGTATGTAGTATGCTTGATAGACTTTTCAACATTTACTAGCTTATCTTGTTCTATGGAGGACAGAAACTGACATACCGTATTTATTCGTGTATAATGCGTAAAATTTAATCCATAAAGTCATCCATAAAGTTGGAGGGTAGTACTATACTCGGATAAGTATTTTTTACTTATGCATTTTAACTGAAATATCGGCAAAATTATTGAGTCCAGAAATGAGGCCGCATCATAAAAAGCAGTTGAAGTGAGCTCACCTCTGACACTCCTCCGTGCTTCAAAGCGAGATAATAACAGATCCAGGCAGGCAACATGATGTGAAAAAACAAAAAACAAAATAAAGCAGTCCTGCACCTTAGTAATGATAACAAACTAATGACATTAGCGTGTGACCGAGCCGCTCCACGAACAACAAACACATGTTCGCCTGTAATGGCTGCCGTCTACCRGTGTTCTGAAAAAGTTTGTATCCCTGAAAAAAGTTTCCCCACCAGAGGGGGCGCTCGCGAGTAGAAAGTAATCTCCTTTTTCCCCATAAGATGGCCCAAATCTCATAAGTCTCAGACTTTTGTGTTGGCCCCTCCTGGTGGACTATGTGTAAAATACCAGAATTCATATGATGCTGCTACAGCTGATATATATTTGTTGTCAAAATACCTTTTAGTACATATGTTGTTAAAATAAAATGAACAGTCCAATGATCATTTTACTGATATGTATAAAGACTGCAAAGGCTGAAAAATCTTGAAGTCTATATGAAATTGGAGGTAGTTTGAGGATTAAATTTTTTATGATTTTTAAGCTCAAAAAAAGTGGGGGTCGTATTATACATGAATAAATACGGTATTTAGAAATAAAAGCAGAAATATATAAATGGACCAATATATAAATAAATACACTTAAAATGCGCCAATTTATTTAAGGAGAACTTTACCTCATGTTGTACAATTTAATTGACCATCATATTTATTTTTCCAACTTAGTTCCAACAAATTGTATATTTGAGAACATAATTTAAATTTTACTGTTTTTAAAAATAAATATATTCTTATTTTTCCTTTTACCTGTAGATGCATTTGTGTCTCTTAAATGATTATATTCAACATTTTTAAGTCTTTTTATTTCCATGTGTTGCTTTTACATTTTTCTGTCTCCTGTTGTACTTTACCTTCTGCATTTCTGCCTCATTATGCAAATAAGGTGGGCGGTCCTTCCTGGGTCAACTCCTCTCCTACTGGTCAACAGAGAGGAAGGAGCAGGATCCATGTGCAGATCTAATGTGCATGCTTATGCTGCCTCTGTTTACCTTAAATTTCAAAGTTTAGATTAAAACAAAGGTACAGGTAAGTGTTTTCCTCCTTGCCTTTGTTTTAAACTAAACTTTAAACTTTTATATTGGTCTGTTTTTTTGCTTCATATCTCTGACTTCGACAGTCTGCTGAATGCAGACAGCCACTTGAAGAGTTCTGCCTCTGCTCTGAAAGTGTAATCTTCTCATTTCCTGTGGAGACCAAAGGTGAAACGTTAACTGCAAAAGCTGGCATTTAATGACAGCTTAACAAAGTTTGTATCAAGGCCGAACAGCTGGTATACAAATATATGGCGTGTACATCCACAGAACATTAATCATGTTTCCATCCAGTTGTAGAGTGAATTTTTATCGAACTTTTCAAAATTCGCAAAAAATTAAATAAATAAAAATTTGTATCTAGACTGTTGCCATCTAGTTTCCCTCTCGACTGTTTGATGCGAATAAACGAGGTTACGCAACGTGTGATTACGTCAGATGAGGCTACGCAATGCGTGATTACGTCAGACGAAGCTACGCAAGGCGTGACTACGTCAGACGAGGCTACACAAGGCGTGATTACGTCAGACAAGGCTACGCAAGGCGTGATTACGTCAGACGAGGCTACACAAGGCGTGATTACATCAGACAAGGCTACGCAACGCGTGATTACGTCAGACGAGGCTACGCAACGGATGATTACGTCAGACGAGGCTACGCAACGCCTGATTACGTCAGACAAGGCTACGCAACGCGTGATTACGTCAGACAAGGCTACGCAACGCGTGATTACATCAGACGAGGCTACGCAACGCATGATTACATCAGACAAGGCTACGCAACGCGCGATTGCATCAGACAAGGCTACGCAACGCATGATTACGTCAGACGAGGTTACGCAACGCCTGATTACGTCAGACGAGGTTACACAACGCCTGATTACGTCAGACGAGGCTACGCAACGCCTGATTACATCAGACGAGGCTACGCAATACGTGATTACGTCAGACGAGGCAACGCAACGTGTGATTACATCAGACAAGGAAACGCAACGCGTGATTGTGTCAGACGAGGCTACGCAACGCATGATTACGTCAGACGAGGCTACGCAACATGTGACTACGTCAGACGAGGCTACGCAACGCATGATTACGTCAGACGAGGCTACGCAACGCGGGATTACGTCAGACGAGGCTATGCAACGCATGATTACGTCAGACGAGGCTACGCAACGCGGGATTACGTCAGACGAGGCTATGCAACGCATGATTACGTCAGACGAGGCTACGCAACGCCTGATTACGTCAGACGAGGCTACGCAACGCGTGATTAC